ATCTCCCAATAAAGCTGCGATGAAAATGGCGATCAGAGTAAATAAAATAGATGGTCTTTATCAAAGTAAATTAGATTCACGTAAATAGTTCACCGGAGGGCCAGAGCAGTTCCTGTAATTCACTTTAAGGTTCACCAACTTACTCAATAAAGCCCCGGCTCAGAATCCAACTGATGTCTAATCGATGGGTTTATCTGAAGCAAACAACTGAGTGCAGAGAAATGAATCGGTTTTCATTTAAAGGAAACGAGAAAAGAGAAAAATATGACTTAGTAAGAAAATGATGGAGCTCATTTTAACGCACGAAATCCCTTTTTTCTTTGTATTAATATAGAGAATTCTGACGAAAAGAAACACAACAACAACTAAATCAACAATACAACCAGTAATAATAAAAATAATAATGATACTACTAATAAGGAAACGAGAAAAGAGATAAATATGACTTTGTAAGAAAATGATGAGCTCATTTTAACGCACGAAATCCCTTTTTTCTTCTTATTAATATAGAAAATTCAGACGAAAAGAAACACAACAACAACAAAATCAACAATACTACTACTACTAATAAAAATAATGATAATGATACTACTAATAATGATAATAATGATAATATTTTACCTTTTATAGAGGCCCGTGGAGCTCAGTGGAGCTATGACATCCATCCATCCATCCTAATCCTGCATTTCATCGCTTTCTCGTCTTTTTTTCTCCACTTTTTCTCCCCCTTTCCTCCTCCCCTCCTCTCCGTTCGCTCTCCACTCGTCTGATTCGGGCAAAAGGCGCCAGGTTTTCCCCCGAGGGAAGAAAGGAGTCAGGGACTGAATCCTCCAAATGCGTAATAATGTAATCCTATCCGAATAAAAAGGGAATCCGCGCTGGTTCCTGAAGGGTTTGGGTCTCCGGACCCTATTTCCCTCTTTTTTATTCTGGGCTCCATAATAAAAAAAGAGACAAAAGAGGCTCCATCCTCCGTGGATTTCGGCTCCGGTGCAGAAAAAAGTCGCAAAACAGCGCAGAAAAGCGTCTTTTCCATTTTAAATGTCCAGTTTAGGACGTTAATTTTCTTTATTTCCTCAAAACTGTATAATAATCTAATTGAAAATTGTCCCGTTTGACCACATACATCTGCAATTAGCATCCCACTACCAAAAAATGAATAAAAATCAGATTTAAAGTTTGATTTGTTGGTATTTTCTAATCCAAATGTTTTAAAATCCCTCCTGTGGAAACAGTGAGTCACTGATGAGTGACACGTGCTTTCTGAAGCCTCACCTGCCCTGAACTGTTCTGTTTTTTTGTTGTTTTTCCAGTCATTTAACATCATAAAACCAGACGTGAAGAGCCAGAATCCCCTGAGGTCAGAAAAATAAAGCTAAATGTTCCAGTCTGAAACAGTTTCTGCTCCCTCTGATCCACAGAGATTAAATATGTGAACAGACAAGAATTTGGACAGTTTTGACAATGGTTTTGTTTGGGTTTTTAAAAGAAAATGTAAATTATTTTTGACTTTGCAGAATCCAAACCATTAAATCTGAAGTCATACAGTTATTGTTGGGCCTCTCTAAGGGTTTAAGTCAAGAACCCCCTTTGGATGTTTAACCCTTTAAAGCCCGATCCAAGAAAAATAGTAAGAATATTGGATTTTTTTTTGTTTGAAGTCTTTCTTTGGCCCCTCAATAACATATGAAGAAAAAAAACTGAAATTATTTTGATCAAATTAGCGTGCAATAAGTCAGAAATCTATGTTGGTGTAGTGTTCTACTGGCTGTTATCAGGTATATCTGAATGTGTACAACAGGGGTTTGAGCAAAGCTTTTACCACTGAATGATGCAGAAAGTCTCACATCCAAAAGACTTCAGAAACCGGATGAATCAAATATGACACATTTGGCATTATAGGGTTAAATAATGAATAATTCGAAATACTTTAATAACCCCAGAGGGAAATTAGATAATAGATGATAAGGAGTCTGAATCCCCTCGTGGATTTGTGGGATGTTTTAGCCTAAACTGACTGTAAAGAATAGAATAGAATAGAATAGAATAGAATAGAATAGAATAGAATAGAACAGAATAGAATAGAATAGAATACTTTACTGATGGGTCCATTTTGGAAACACAACTTGTCTTGGAGCAAAACACAGCTCTAATGTTTATTTCACATCATTATAGTTCGATTACAGTAGTGATGGATGAATAAATTATCTCCTTTTAAAAAGTCTTTGAATAACAAACTTTGAATAACAAAGAATCTCCTAAACCAAAAGAATCCACTTCTGAAATGGTTTAAGAAAATGGAATAATGGCTTTTTAAATCCAATTTTAACAGAGTTGTGTTCTTGTGTTGTTTGGAATTGATTAAAATAATAGACTAAAATCAGAGAAAAACGCTTACAGACATTAAACCCAACACTTTATTTTACCCTTTGAGTTTCTGTGGACGAAGTCTCAGGGGTCAAAGGTCAATTCAGCCTGAAAAAACTTCCTATTTTAAGCGTCTCACACAGTTTTTTCTGGGTCCGGGATAATTTCAGACGTCACTTTGAATGAGTCTGTTATCAGACAACTTAGAAACCACACATTTATTAATGGACACCCCTGTTTAGTGGAGTATTTATTAGCTTTTTTTAGGTTTTTGGGCTCCTTCATTCCCAAACCAGTGGAACCTTGACTTTGAAATTATGTTTGATTGATATTCTGACTATTATCTTACATAAATTTATCTATATGAGGGATTTCTTGGCTTTAAGTAAAATACTTCAAACCAAATCTATCAACAAATTCAACTAAAACACATTTCTGACAATATCAAAACTAACAAAGTCAAATTATACATAAGAAACAGGTTATGTTGATCACAGCTATTTCTGCCCTCGTTATTTTTTCCCGCATCTTCATGGATGAATCATGTAAAAGATATTAATATAACAGAGTCTTAGTGGCTCCAAACCAAAGCTAAAAATGTAAAGAGCTACAACCATAACCAGCTGAACCACCTTATAATGGTTAGATATTATATTCCACACAGTGTGTGTATATATATATATATATATATATATATATATATATATATATATATACATCTGTTTTTTGTGAGTCAATTGAAAGTATATATATATACGTAAGTGTATAAAGGCAACAAAGATTCTCATGTTGGTGTCCTTTTTCCAAATTATAGGGAAAAAAACACAGTCCTAAATATATAGACCTTTCTATATCGATGTGATTTGGACTATTCCATGTCTGTGTAATATGTGTGTGTAAAATGTGTGTGTAATATGTCTGTGTAATAATGTGTGTGTAATAATGTGTGTGGAGACCGGAAGTAGAACTCTCCACTCCGGAAGTGAGCCTAACTTTGCCCTTTTTCTTTTAACAAAAGAATCTACAAAAATGGAGATGGAGCTAGGTAAATATCACACAACAGTAAACATTGTTCTTTTTTCCTTTTTCCTTTTTTGAAACTTTTTTTTTTTGTCTTTTAATTTGTCCCCACCCCCCCTGGTTTGGTTCACCCCCCCAAATAAAAGCTAAATCGGCCTGTGGGTCACTGATATATGGAGGAGGGAACCGTGACAGATTCCTTTTGTCTGCGTTTTGCTGGTACTTTATTACCCGCGCGCGCAGCCTGCAGAAAACGATTCATCACGCGCA